GTGCGTTAGTTTCCCATCAAAGTAGTCTGCCACTTCGAGACCTCAGCAGGTGGAAACCAGAAAAAAAATAAAAGATTAGATAAACAGGAAAAGCATTCAATGTATACACCATGAATGAGCAACTCAAATTGATCAAAAAGTAATAGTTAGGCGTTTCACTTTACAATACCCATATTATACACAAGGCAGTAAGGACAACACAAAAGAATTAATATGAGAAGAAAATAATTACACACAAGTTGGTTGGAATGTGGATTTTTCTGCCAAAAACGATTAGCTGAAGCAGAGCCCATAAATGGTATTAAACAGGAATTAGAAGCTTGAGAGAAGAAATAGTAAGGTCTCTAGGACTGGGATTAAATTGAATCATGTGAAGAAAAATACCAGTGCAGAATCGACAGGCCAAATGGCCCACTTCTCTGCTGATGATCAAGACCATGTGCCTACACCCTAATCTCAGGATAGCTCATTTCCATGGAATCGTTTACAGCATAGAAGACCATTCAGCGCAACACTCTTCACCAATTCTCTTAAAGAGCTATCCGTTTAGGCCCACTGCCATCTTTCTCATACCCTTTTAAACCTACTATTAGCCCTTTTTTTACTCTTTGTGTTGCTCTATTTGCTATCAAGTCTCTTCCGGAGGTCGATATTGACAACTAAAATAGATTTATTTAAATAAAGACATTTACTAAGGGCGGTCACTAATTATTTTGTATAAGTTGACTTTTAGCGCATCTCCCAAATGAATTCAGAATTCAATCTTTTACATGAGTGAGCACCAGTGCACTTTCTTTTAAGATCTTAGCGATTGTTTCTTCTTTCTTCTCTGAAGATGAAGCAGTAAAGATTCCCTTTGATAAAGATACCAATCTTGGAAGGTGAACCCTCAGGTTCGCTCAGCCTTTAGCTTCTCAATCCAAAGCAGAACCGAAGAGCCAATTTTACAGAGCTCATTTCTGGCCTTCAAAATCATTCAGAGACACATTCAGCTCCAATTGGAGCCTGACTCTTCCCATGACACCAGAGACCTTTGCCTGGAGGCTAACATGGGAACTTGGCTTTCCAGCCATGCAATATAATTTTGACACTGTAGCAGAGACAGAAAACACAACACTGAACACAAAGCACTATCCTTTGACTGGGGAATAAATAACACAATTTACAACATTCTTGACACATTTCAAGGTAACAGTGTTATTTCCGCCAAACAATCAAAAGTTCTAAATGAATTGGTCTGGAAACACCTTTTGTTGAGAACACCTGTGTAGGGTAAAAAGTAAAACAGTTCCTCTCCTATCAATTCCATCTCCATAGCTAGATTAAGCTGTCCAATTTTGTATTGTAAGAAATAGAAGTCCTTACAAAAGGTGTGTCACAAATACATAGCCATCTTTCATGCCATTTCAAAAAATATGAGACAAATGGTTGTACTTCCCAAAGGCAGCGCTGATGTGCAAACTCACGCCAGCATTTGGAACTAGGCTTACAAGATATCGTAGAAAACATCATAGTCGTCTAAGTAGCTCTTGTTGTAACATTAAAACACACCAATGAATCAGGAACTCAATGAATGCACTTAAGGTAACGCATTAACTTGAAATGTGTTCAGCCTCAGGCAAAAAATGATACAGAGGCACCAAGTACAAATCCTACTCAGAAACCTTCTGCTGCTGAAAGCAATAGTGCATCTCATCCATTGGTACCAAACCAGGCAAGACGGTGCTCAGTCTATAATACAGTATTTCTCCTCTCTCCTATCCTTTGCTCTGTACAATCAATTAATTGCATTTAATGTACTAATGAGGAGATTAAAACTAATGGAACAATGGAAATTTATAGTTGCAATAAAGCAGCTTCCTGACACTAAACTGTGTGCACAATGAGCTGGAACAAAGACACTTGGAGATGTCCCCATTCACTCCTGTGCTGAACACAGAGAGCGAATCCATATTCTCTAATGGACTACCTTTCAATGCAGTGACTGCAATCTGCCCGACTGGACTGTAAATGGTCACCGCTTTATAAAATGAATGGATTTTATTTCCAACGCAGTCACACAACCCTTGACGGTGCACAGCACACTGACATTCAATGTTGGCAGAATCATTCAACTAGGCAGTCCATTCCACTTGTGTGAAAAACCCACAGCGATTAAGGTCAGTGAAGTGTTCTTAAGCTGTTAACATTGGTAGTCCAATCTTCAACAATGTAAATGCAAATCAGTGACAACAGCTCAGGATCTGGAAAACTTTTGATTTATTTCTAAGTGCCCAACACACCAGCACAATACAGTTCCTCCCACTGAATTTGCAACCTGAGACCTGCCTTGTGATGATTAGCCAAACAGCCGCTGAAAATTACACAGAAGCAGCACCAGAAGTAAAGTCATCAACTTAATCCCACAAAACTTCCCTAAAAATGCTTAAACCCACAGGATCTGAATTTACAGATTGCAACCTTCAATTTGAACTCTGAGTTCCGAATATTTGAAAGTTTCGGAACATTTCGGAAACCCCAATATTGATCAGCATTTCATTTGAAGGGAAGGAAAATCATTAAGTGATTTTTGAGTTACCGCCAACTGAGCGTAAGTTAACTATTTTACACTGAATAAATAGAGGCTTCTATTTAGTGAACTCTATTATCCCAGGTCCAGCGCTGCAGGATACAGCACAAAGAACAGCGATTTAAATACAGCACCGCAAGGATATCTGCCCGACGGCTGCACAGAACAGTAATGCATAAACCATCCAAATTTTACCAGAATGACGACAGCTTATCTGTAAAAATTACAAAAGTGTTTCCCTCAGTTTCAGAGAGAAGGTTACATAAATGAAACCCAAGGGTGTTCAGAATACAGAGCTCTCGCTCGCTCACCATGGTTACAGTTCTCGTAACTCACTGCAGTGCAGTCCCAAGGGGTGGGGGGGGGGGGGGGGGTGGGGGGGTGGGGATGGGGAGGGGGAGAGGGAGGAACAGAAGACGTCGCTTCCAGTAAGCCGAAAGTTTCAGATTTATCCAGACAACAGCACCCCCTGGTGTAGCAAATTACATATGTCACACAAAATAAATATCGAGCTTTTTGCCATTTTCAAAAAAATGAAAAGAGAGATTTCTGTCCTTGTGGAGAACCCCCCCACCCCCCCCCCCCCCCCCCACCCCACACACCCCACACACACACACACAAGCTTGTGGAGTGTTTTTTAAAAAGCAACCGTGCACAGACTGACAAAGAGTTTCATTTTCCTTGTCTTCCCATTAGTGATTTCCTTGTCTTTCTACCACTTAAGCATAGCAGTAAATTAACTTTAATAAAGCAGTCACTCGTAACAAGTGAGGCTACGCTGAATTGTTTAGAGATTCCAGAGAATTAATTATAGGATTTCTCTGATCGGTCCTTAGCAATTCAAACAGTAACTACTTCACTTACCGATGAGCATATGGATCGAGCAGAAAAGGATTGAGCATTTCTAGCCATCTTCCTTATTCTACCAATTTAAACCTTTCATAAATTTTTGATCTCTCTTTAGTATTGAAGCTTAAGTCTTTGAGAATACAGTCGCCATTTTACAAAGCCTCTTACACATCCAGTTAAATGCAAATCCAGAAGAATTCCCTTTGGATCGATATAAAACCCACTCTAGCTCACTGTAAACAGACACCTGATCTCACGCTAAAATGAGGTTTTTGATCTCTCCAGTCAACAAGGGACAGTATGGTGTGTTGAGCTGAAGCTGCTACATTGATTTCAGGATCTATAAGACAAGCGGGTTTCACCCATAAAGTATACGGTCAATTCACTTTACAGTATATTCTGTGAAGCACTTTGAGACATCTCAAAGATGTGATAAGGCGCTGTTTCAAATGCAAGGATTATTGTTATTAAAGCCGGAAACCATGGTGGCTTGTAGCTCAGTGACTGCTATTTTGGTATTACACAAGGTCATCATTTAATTGCCTTCAGTGGCCTATCTATCTCACTGTACTGTCAAACACAAAAAGACTGGAATGTGGGAGGCCAGCAAGTTTTCTGACCTTCCGTAAAAATGGAGGTCGAAGATTTCCATATACAGTTAATTCACTTTACAGTATATCCTGTGAAGCGCTTTGAGGCATCTCGAAGAGGTGATAAGGCGCTGTATCAAATGCAAGGATAATTATTATTATTATTCTGTAAATGGCAGTGCTGTGCTTGCCCACCCACATGCGCCCTGAAGCCAGGCTTCCACTTACTGACCGAAAGCCTCTACCTTTGGGTCCAGCAGCCAGAAAAAATTGTGCACTATATGTGCAATTTTTAAGGTTGTCGAGCGTGTTGTGGGATTTGTTCCATAGTAGATGTGATTCTATTTCTTGGGACCTGAGCTGGCATTGCAGAACTGCTTACTCCCTGAAGTGGTTCAGTAACACAAAAAGTCCATTAAATTCACGTGCCTGCTGACTTCTGGCACCTGCTGACTTTTACCGAAAAGAAAAAAATAATTATAAAATGTCACTGTTTGGTTGCTGAGTAACAAAGAAAATGTCAGTCAAATCAATCAAGTCTGCACTAATCAATTCTTCTTGAATATCTTACAAAACTAGTCAGACCATTTGAGTCCAATTCAGTCAATAATAATCATTGTATTTGATGTATGGATTATTGCAACAATCCTTGCAGTCAATGGAGGGGAGGGCGTACAAACTTTAGTTCAGATACATTAATCCAGCCAAACTTTTTCCAATTCCAATGGAAGTGTCCAAAATATAATCCCCCAAATGAGCAGCTTTAGTGATGCAAAATTCAATAAGATGCAGATATGCATTGATATTTCCAAGTAGTATTCTTCTACCAGGTTGTGTAAGCCACATGTCACCTCCTGTGCAGGTCAGGTTCTGATTGAACCTGGAGGTCAGGTCTCAAGTGAATTCCATCCTGGGGTAAGCCAGCCAGCCATCCTCTGCATTGTACAAAACCTCAGTCACACCCACACAACAGAACCCGGGATTGTACATACCAGGACTTGGGTTCCCCAAAGTGCAAGTAGTTAATGCTGTACAGGTCCATGTCCTCCGTGTGCCAGGCAAATGTCGTTTTCCACATTCCAAAGTAGAGATATGGAGTATTCACACCTTCAATCACTATCCCACACTCCTGCTCCACCATATCAAGCAATGTGTTGAGATTTCCGATGTTCCATTCGTCAATGTGCTACAGCAAACAAAACAAAAAAGTATTATTATAGACAAGTTGCCCTTCGTGCAATACTGAAAACATTGAAGGCTCATTAACTCAAATGTTCACAATAACCTTATCTTAATCCATGTGGCTGCAAACTCCACATAGCCCAATAACCATAATATTCAGTCACTGCAATATATATAATGAAGCTCTGAATCTAACACGATAATTTGAACCACTGATATATTTATAAGAGCTCAAGAAATCACTGGTTTAAAAAGGGACAAGCTAGCAAAATTAATTGGACCTATAGTATTTGATCAGAGCAGCAAGGATTAAAACCACTTACTCACATCATATTTGCAATTGATTCTAGTTCACATAAAGCGAACAGCTGTGCAATGCATGTTAACAGAGAAGGTCTACGCTATTCTAAACCTCTTAGGGATAGAAGAAATAACTTAAAGGAACCTGAAGAGATGACTGAAGTAGGAGATCTGTCAACCCTTACGCGCCATCTGTTTTGCAGACAGGAAGCGGAGGGAACGCAAGTCTACCAGAGAAGGGCAGAGAGAGAGAAGAAAATAGAAAGAACTTCCATTTTTATAGCACTGAATCGCGTTGGCACGTCTCAATGCCCTTCACATGTAATGATTGTCCAAGTATAATGGCCATTTTTGTAAAAGAAAACTGGCAGCCATTTGTAATAATAAGATCTGACAATTAGCTGTGAAGTAAATGACCAATTTAGCTGGAGGGATGTTAACCAAGACACCATGAGAAACTCCCTTTTTTTAAAAATAGTGCAATAGGATTCTTGATGTCCATTTGAACATGTAGTTGGAACCTCAGTTTAATTTTTCATCTGAAACATATAGCACCTCCAGAAATGCAACACTCCCACAGTACTGAAATGGAATGAACATTACACAAGGGCCAAAAATACAGCCCTTCTCACAGAATAGTGTTTGAGTGCTGGACTCAGAGTGACAATAATCTGAATGACAGGCTGCCATATGGCTATCATCAAGAAATCCTTATATTTGCTGGGACATCTTTTTGGTGGGTATCTGCTTCCTTTCCCATGATGGTTCCATCTAGCAGGCTAAGCAAAAAACAAAGAAACTCACCTTTCTGGAGGAGCAAGTTCAACATTTTAATAGTAGCAGAAATATAAATTAGAGGCCTCTTTGAATGGGAGTTCAGTGTACCTGACCCTTTTAGAGTAATATATAGGCAAGCATTTGTCTAGCATGAAGTATTGCAGAGGTGAAAAGTACTCCCATGTTTGGTAAAAGTATGTAGGAATCAAGACAAGTGCTCCATCCTGTGCAACTCAGCCAGTCTACTTAAAGCAGCTGGTGTATCAGCATTTCTGAGGGGCACGAAAGAGACGAGTTCTGTTTCAGTGCACCAGCTCAAGATTTGAACGCCAGTACAAATGTAAACAGCAGCCTGACAAACGGCAAGCTGAGATTTACCACGATGACAAGGAAAACAGGAATTCTGAATTTTGTGTTGTTCGATTTCCGGAACATGGTTACATATTGGAATGTTAGATAACCAATCCTGGGTGGTGAGAACACTGTTCTTTCACCTCTCTGACCCGGGTTTATAAATTCAATCCAGAGCCTTGGAATCACATTCTCTACTTAGATGTCAGTTAAAAGGGCCTAAATGAAATAGGTTGACAGACAGCCTTAATCCAGTTTCCAGTGATGTGAGTCCATGATACAAACCTGCCACTAATCCAGCAGTCTCACAGACTGCACAACCTTGTGCCAAGACAGGATGAGAAATTGTTGGCATTTAGGCCTAACTGGAAAGTAATTAGATTGAACATCTGATCTGGGCTGCATGAGACCCAAGGGTATGTGACAGAGGGGAGGAAGGGGCTAAAACAGGAAAACGCTCCATTCCCTGCACAGTCACCCTTCACCTTCCAGAGCATGAACACACACAGCACAAGCAAGTTCTACATACTGCAAATCAATGGAAATTATACATTATAATTCTATTTGTGAATCAATGTCTAAATACACTATTGCTCCACTATGATTTCTGAGCTCTGTCTTTTTATATTGTCTCTCTCTTTCTGCTCACATCAAAATTTGCAAGCTGATTTTAAAAAGGGGGAGTAAAGTTTAAGCGGCCCTATTTCCATCTGGGGGAAAATTGCTATTCCTGAAATATCAATGAGATTCAAGAAATTCACTATTTCTGCTCCAAAAAAGCTTTGTATCAAGCAAGTCTAGCAACCAATTAGTAATTTTTTTTCCGCCATTAAGCACCTCTGATTCAGCTACCAGTCTAGCCTTAGGTGACACCAAGTTCCCCTGCCCCACTGCGACTGAAAAAACTGAGTTGTTGGCCAGATGCAGCTCCTCCTCTGTTATAGAAGGCAGTGGAGCTGCCTGGATGAACAGGCAAATGAGACATCTGTTAAATATCTCATCCGCAGGACAGCACCACCAACAATACAGCAATCCCCCCCCCCCCCCCCAGCACAGCAGTGGAGTGTCAGCTTAGAACTACGCAAGTTCAACGTCCTAACATAGAGCTTGAACCAACAATTCTGACTCACAAGAGCGCTATGAACTGAGCTAACACTTAAAGTTGCACTGTACAACTTCTCTGAAAATCAAACTTCAGACTTTGCTTTTAAATCAATTCTGTACAAGGTTATGCAGTACAAAGCAGAATTCACACAAAAGCAAACCATAGTATTGCCACCTTACTCCAGGGACGAGCAACTGCATCTTCAAGTGGTAAAGAGAAAGCAGGGTGTTGTGCAGCACACAACAGCTCACAATTTATCATACGGCAAAGGATTTAATTTAATGAGAAAATGACTTAAACCATTTCCTTTTGATAAAGGATTAACGCTTATGTTCAAAAGTGAAAAACGACTTACATTATCATACAGGGAGCCGCTGATATCTGCTCCATAGATGGGTGACACAAACGTAAGATTCTTCCAATATTTGCGCTCAAGGTCATCAAAATCTAAATGCCGCGGAGTACCATACCTGAAAGAGAGGAATCACAGCTCTGTCAATGTAAGCTATTTTGAGAGGGTTTTCAATTGAAAGTGGTTAAGTAATATAGGTTTTCTTCAGCTGAGAAGAAATTAAGGATACACAAAGGCAGGTTCTGGATAAATGAACATCTCAGCAAACCGTAATTGTTTACAAAAAAAATTACAACGTTAGGAAAGGCCATAAGTGGTTAAGCATTACTTATCTCAGTTTCATTACCTCATGCAAAATAAAGAGCATTTCACTTCTAGTATATGTGCATTGTGTCACTTCAGTTTATTAAACTAGTGCAGAATACAGACAGGAAGATCTAGAATCTAATTAATTATTCCAGCTTCCTTTTGGCTCATACAAAATTGCTTCTAGGCTGCTGTAGACATCCAAACATGAGAGAGGTTCAAACAAAGAAGTTCCAATCTTTATCTTCCAGAAATATTTCCTGGTATAAATAATAATCCTTGTATTTCATATAGCGCCTTATCACTTCGTTGAGATGTCTCAAAGCAATTCACAGAATATACTCTACAGTGTTGTGACTGGTATTTTTATACAAAAATTCCCCTCCACAACTCTGAATCCTTTTGCCTATCCTCCTTGGAGGGAGGTAAGCGGGGTCTCCATGGAGCTGAACTGGATCCGGGGTAACATGCCTGGCAACAGAATGTTGGAATCAATCAATGTTGGACTCTGTGGCAGTCTTGGTAGTCTGCTGTGAGCAATTAGCTGCCGCGTTTCATCCACAAATATATCGTCAGTTCACTTTGCAGCATATTCTGTGAAGTTTGAGACGTCTCGAAGATGTGAAAAGTGCTATATCAAATGCAAGGATTATTATTATTATTAGTCTGGTTCCTGAGCCAGGCGGGTCTGCAGAATTCCAGGGTACTGCTGAAGACAGCACAGCCCAGCTCATCGGCAGGACCTGAAAGGGTAGAGCAGAAACTGGGGGCAGGGAATTCTCCCACTCAGCTCCTGTTAACCCTGCAAGCCAAAGCCCTAACGGGTAGGGTGGTCCTAGCTGGACAGGCAGTGGCACAGCTTGCCAGACAGCAATATCAATGGCAAGCTATGTGGTTTTAGCTGGTTAGACTTCAGAAGTACCCCAATACACATTTTGGGGGTCCCCAAGCCTTGGCTCTTGCCAACTTGCGCCAAATATTTTCCAGAATTAGGTAAGCAGGATGCGTCCCTCCAGGGAAGAGTGCCCATTCCATACCAACAACCTATCTTTGGGATTTCCGTGTGTAGGTGAGATGCATGGAATTTTCAGCTTGGTGGGATACTCTTAAGCATGATAATGGCTTTCCACGTGTGTCAAACAGCCGGCTGACCAAAAGACAAAATCCTTTCACCTTACTCACAACAAAAAAAGTCACTGCACTTGATTGTAATTACTTGTGAAGCTCATTGATGCATTTCAACATGAAAAGGTATTATGCAACTTCTTTCCTCTTTAAGCCAGACTTGCATTAAGGAAACTCTCCTGACCGTTTGATCTCAAACATCCAAAATCCCAACTCTACCTTTTTCCCTTTGTACTATCAAGGTGTATTTTAAATGAATCCTGCATTTCCTGGCTTTTACCACCTTTCCTGGTAACACAGCCCAGCTGCTGACTACTCTCAGTGTAGGATGGATGAATCAAATGCTTTTGAAATATAAGTACAGCTGTAGGACTCTGAAAAATAGAATTATTTAATAATAATCCTTGCATTTGATATAGCAGCTTATCACTTCATTCAGGCAACGCAAAGCGCTTCACAGGATATACTGTAAACTGACTGTATATTTTGTGAGCAAAATGCGGCCAATTACGTACACTTGTGACCAACCAAACAGTCATGGATTGAATTAACGAATTAAAAAATGTTTTTGAAGGGATTATTACCCTCGGAAAGTGATACGCCAATTGACTAACAACTGGGTGCCTACTTACTGCTAGATAAACAGGCGTGTAAAGAAACTTGCAGCCTGATGCTTGAATTTGATATTCACCTTACGTCAACGTCTAAGAGTTCATTATAATGAGGTAGCTTGTGACTATTATGTTGGTAAATATGGCAGCTAATCAGCAACACCCCTTGGACAGCAATGAGATGAATGGCTAAATTTAATCTTTTTTGTTCGTTATGAAATGGGATCTTTAACCACCTCCAGAACATGCAACTTGACCAAGGTTTGGAGCCTTCTTCCAAACAATGGCACTTCAGATAACACACCACTCCCTCAGTACCAGACTGGAATGTCATCTTAGATTCTGAACTCAAAACCTGGTGTGGGACTTCTGACCCGGAAACATCAAAGCTATCAAAAAAATTCAAAGTCCTTAGCAGACGAATACTCTACCACCACAGCTCCTGAGTTATAATATAGTAATAATAATCCTTGCATTTGATATAGCGCCTTATGACGTCTTCTGGATGTCTCAAAACGCTTCACACAATATACTGCAAAGTGAATTGAGCGTATATTTGAGGGCAAAACATGGCAAACAATTGCACACCGCAGTGTCCCATAAACAGTCGTGGATTGAAGTGACCAATTTATTGTTGTTTATTTTTTGTTTTGTTTTTCTTGAGGGATTACGATCAGGTGTATGGAGTAAGGAAACTTACCCAAAGTTTTGACTTGCTGGGAATCGAACCCAGGTCTCTCGCTTGTGAGGCGAGTGCTCCAACCACCAAGCTACAGGACTCCACGAGTCTCCAGAATATATTGTAAAGCGGACTGTGTATTTTGTGGACGAAACACGGCAGCCAATTGCACACAGCGCGTCCCATAAACAGTCGTGGACCGAGTGACCAATCTTTGTTTTTTGAGGTATTATTATTTACCACTGGAAAGAGATCTGCCAATCAAATAACAACTGGGTTCCTACGTACAGCGAGGTAAACAGAGGTGTGTGTGTGTGGAGTAAGGAAACTTGCCTAAGGTTTCGAGTTTTAAAAATCAAACATTATTTAATTTTTTTTAAAATAAAGCTTAAAAAAACTGCAATGAGTTGCCATACTTCTCACTGTTAGCCATTCGCTTGTACTCCCCAACAGTCATGGATTTCTTCTGAATGTTGTACTGTGTGAACAGGCCAGATTGACCAGTCACGACTTGCTGGATTGGAGCTGGGATGGTCATATCATCAATATCCCCATAGGATTGTCTTGGTTTCCAGTCCTTCGGAGGAATAACCTGAAGGTGCAATACACGCGAGATTAAACAGATGAAATGTCACGTTGAGTCGCACAGAAGGTAGTGGGTTGAAAAAAAGTATCCTGCACGGTTAAGTCTGTGCCTTGAACTCCAATTCAAGTGAGGATTTCAGGTAAAGGTAGTGCTTGGGACATATTTGATTTTCTGTGGGAGCGGAGTAAGTATCACCGCCCATTGAAATATTAAACAGAAACTAGTCCCGTGTGCAGGTAACATTATTATAGCGAATTTAAATGTCCCATCAGTATCACTGCATACAAGACGAGATTGGGGCTGGCACATTGCATTTACACTCATGCTCCCATATCCAGATCCAACATTTCCAGTAGATGGCAGTTCTTTCACTACTTGGCTATATTGGGAGTCTAAATTACTATATTCGCAAAAGGGGGATGGGAAATGCCAATTGTGGGAGCAGAGAGAAAAACAGTACCTTCCCACACTGGTCATATCGCTCTGTAGCTTTAATCCCTTTCCCCCTCACAATATAGCATTTCAAAATTGCCAACCTCAATCTGAATGCTTAGGTTGGCCAAGGTTGGTTCAAATTAACATTTCCCATGGGCTTGTGAAGATCACAAACTAAACCTTGGTTTGTTCTGTAGATTTCTTCCACGTACATCCATAAATCTCAGGGTGCATCACAGAAAAGAAACAGCAAATGGTTTGATTTAGGGAACACCACTGTAGTGTAGTCCTGCAACACTACACTACAGTGGAGTTCCCTAAATGTGTGAAGTCTATTCCTGTCACATTCAGGTTTTAATTGCAAGGAATACCACCAGGTATAAAGCAATACAACAGAACACTTCAAAGTCCCGGATCACAGGTAGGATTTAATTATCACAGAATCTACCGAACCAACATCCAAATAAATAACGTTTCCAGATCAACAAAATCTTAAATAGCAGATATTTAAATGGCTGCCTTAGATGACTCTTGAATTTCTGGGTTACCTTTGCGAGACCTGCCCTGTGGGCTCCTTGGGATTCGATGTATGCGATATACTTCCCAAAGTTTTTGAACTCTTCCATGGTTGGGTGGAAGGTCAAGATCTTACAGCTCGTGTTGAAAGTTCCTGGATTTTCTGACCCCATGTTTGTGCCGATACCTGCAAAAAACAACAGATTGAAAGTTGCTGAATCTGCAATCAGTGACAAGATTATCAGAGGATATACAGGCAACAAAGTGAAACTGAATAAATTGAGGCAATAGAGGGAGGTGCCAAAAAAATATTGATCGTCAACAGATTCATAAACAGATCATGGGGTTCCTACCAATCGACTGTGACTTACTGCTAGTTACTGGTAGGATTCCATGCATGAACTGCTATCTTTGGGATTTGCCACTTTTTTGACCCCACTATCAGGCACACACATAAAAAATAAAGAGAGCCTGGTAAAATCAATAACAGAGGAGGGAAGTCTCCTCTTACCTCCTCTGTTATTGACTCTCGTAACCTCAAACTGCAAATAAAAAGCCATTCTCTTTTGGACATTAATTCAAGAAGGCATCTTTATAAGGCATCTTTATGGTTATTTACACAGATCCTTTAAACTGTGGTGGAAATACAATGCAGATTATGCCCTTTCAATCTGTAAATTTAAAAATGGGAAGAAAAGCCACAACACTTTCCTCTTCCCCACTCCTTTTTGTTTGGTGTGTTTTGAAGACAAGACACTTTAATCCCCCGGTTACAGCATAGAATGCAGCAAACAGTGCTACAAGCTTTTCCCTGGAACGTCCTCCCAACGTTATACAAATGTAATTTATTTTTGTTGCTTTCTACTTCACTCGGTTATCTCTCGGATGTGGATCAGGCATCCCTGGGATGTGGTGATGGGCCTGAGATATACCAGGTATCTATTTTCTCCTCCTATCCCCAATATCCATGTCACAAAAAGTTTTGCAAAGATCATTTAAAACAGTGATTTCAGCTATGTACCAGGTGGAGGAGCAGAGGATAGGCAGTGGGTATTGTAGAAGATGGCGTTTTATTAGTGGATAAGCATAAACCAAACAATTCACTTGCGAACCTATTGGTAAGAAACAAATCTTGCTGTTAGAGCCGCACAGAAAAAGATTGTTTAATTATGATCGATATTTTTCATTTTTTGCTTTTTGAGTAATGGTACTGATTCAGGTTAGGAAACTGGCTTTGAAAGCTTCCTAAAGTTAAAAAGAGCGACGAAGCTGGATTAATATCAGCAGAGATGGTTGTTAAACTGCAAATGATCACATTAATTAATGTCCAAAGAACTCAAAACAAAATCTGCCCAAATGAGTAGAATTCTGATGAAGCGTGGCATCCAGAACATTAACTCTGAGATGGTGATCCTATCTGACGCACATTTTTATATATTTATTTTTACTGATATTTCCTTTGATTGAGCCAACAATATCAATCATCGGCCAGGAGAGGGCTTTCATAAGTGCTCAATTACTGGCCACACTGAAACAAAGTGCCTGCAAACTCACCACAATGTCTTAGATATCAGGTTTTCATTCACACTCAGGGAATATCACACCCCACGATATACAGTTTCTAACAACTCATCCCCTAAAACAAAAGTTCCTTTTTATTTTTAAAATCATTAAAATCACTCGTTTTTCCGAGGGTAATAATCCCTTAAAAATAACAATATGGTCAATCAGTCCAAGACTGTTTGTGGGACATGCTGTGAGCAATTGGCTGGCGTGTTTCACCCACAATATACAATCAATTCAGTTTACAGTATATTCTGTGATGCACTTTGAGAGGTCTCGAAGACGTGATAATGCGCCATATCAAATGCAAGGATTATTGTTGTTATTATTATTAAGAGCACCCAAACCAAACACAGTTCCACGCATGCCACCTATACATGGAATATGTAACGTCTCTCTCTGGAGGAATGCATTATGCTTAGCCAATTCTGGAGAGTATTAGGCACAAATTGACAAGAACCAAGGCTTTGGAACCCTGGAGTGTTTGTTGGGGTAACTGCTGGAATGTAACCAGCTAAAACTGCATAGCTTGTCAATAAAAGCACGTCTGGCAGCTAAGACCCCCCCTACCCATCAGGGCTTTGGTTTATAAGGTTAACAGGAGCTGAGTGGGAAGAATCCTTGCCCCCAGTGACTTGTCTGCCCTTCCAAGTTATGCTGATCAGGTCACTGGAGTACTGCAGATATGCCTGGCTCATTTGACATCCGACAAACAGGGGTCTGAGCCCTCAGTCGGTGGATGGCAGGTACCTGGAACTTCCTGCGAGGTTCCTGTTGGTCAACTTAGCTCAGCATGAAATGTGTGAGAGCGTTGTCACCATCTTGCTGCCCACAGCTTGGGTCACACATCCCTTCCCATTGAATAATGGTTCTACTAGTTGGAGGTGCAGAGCCTGAGCAAGAGCTGCTTACCTCTCTTGGAATAAAAATCAACTATGTAAATTGCCATTTTGTTCTGAACAGAATAGGAACAGAATAGGTTATTAGACCTGCTTAGCTTGCTCTTACATTAAGTCTTCCAATTCTCTCTAACTTTTCTCCACATCACCACTCATCAATTCCATCTCTTTTGCACAATTCAATCAACTCTTCCTCTATCCTTCCGCCTTGCCCATGTTCAGGTCGTGCCTGAAGACCTTCCTCTTCGACTGTGCCAATGGTCACCTCCCCACTCCAGGTTGTGCTCCCCACTGTCAAGCGCTCTGGGACTCTAACCTGTATGAGGGACGCTATATAAATCTAAGTTGTTATTGTTGTTATGACGTTCAGTGGCAGTCAGTTCCATATTCTCACCACCCGTTACTTAAAGAATGTTTTCCTGGACTCCCTCTTTCACCGAATGGTGAAATTCTAATTTAAAGATTCGCTCTCCTGGGAATACTATGCAGAATTGCTCTCTGAAACAGGTCATATAAGTAGGACGTTAACAGAGTTCTCGTTTCTTGAACAAACAATTTGTTTTGTTTTTGCTACAGCTCACTCAGGCATTCCACTCTTAAAAATAGATCTGTTCAAAATCATCAGCTGTGACATTTCTGGTCCAACAACGGCCCAACAAGACCAATTAAATGTGACCACTTGTACTGCAAAATAGGTGGGGGTATACATACCGTTTATTCGAAGCAGCAACAGAAAGACATCTGAACTGAACTAAAAAAAGTAAATGGAAGCAAAGAGGTTTTTATTTTTACTTAGAAAGAAACTAATTTAAGACTGAAAACCCAATGGGTTAACCCACTACCACATGTACACTCCATTGCCCACTAATGTTAATTGCCCATTTGACAAAATGGTGACAGATTTTTAACCTAAACTTTGGCTGCTGTCAGAAAACTCAATGTTAACCAAGTAAAAATACAACCAACCAAATCAGACACCAAAAATACAAGCAAGCTGGTTGGTTCAACGTGAATTTTAATTATATATCTATGAATTTTATTCTGTTATTATGATTCAACAAGCTTTTATACAAAGTGCCATGATGTAAAGTGGGCTGTCATAAGTTTTAAAGCTTGGGTGGGTGTCCTGTGGACTTGCGTTACACTTGGCTTCTGGCATGCGGGATGTGACAACAACCAAAAATGTAACCATTTATAATAATATAATCCTTGTATTTGATATAGCGCCTTATCACGACTTCTACACATCTCAAAGTGCTTCACAGATTATAATGTAAAGTGAATTGACTGTATGCTTTGTGGGAGAAACTTGTCAGCCAATTGCGCACAGCAGTGTCCCACAAACAGTCGTGGATTGAAGTAACCACTTTATTATTATTTAATAATCCTTTCATTTGACATAGAAGCTTTCACGTCAGGAAGAGAGCCACAGAATTTACTGTGAAGTACAATGACTGCATATTTTGTAGATGAACACGGCAACAATTTGCAAACAGCAATGTCTCCCAATCAACCGTTAAAGATCCCAAGGCATTTAAATAATGCCTTGGGATCTTTCACATTCACCTGAACAGGCAGACAGGATGTCGGTTTAATGTCTCACCCGAAGGACAGCACCTGCTACAATACAGCATTTGTCCAGTACTGTATTGAAGCGTAAACTTAGCTCAAGGTGCCTGGAAATGAGGCTTAACCTGCTCAATCTATTGCCTGTTGCATACAATAAACTATTTTAGGTTTATTCAGAATATTGCAAAAACATCGCAATATTTCCAGTATTAAAAAAGTCTGCAATATTCTGGCAAGCCATTAGAATATAATTGTTTGAAAGCTTTTTTTAAAAATGTTGTTTTAAAAGAGAACAGGATTATTTTTGATATATGCACTATGTATCTAACCATTTAACAATTAAATTCATATCAATGTGGTTAAGGTTTCCATGCAGAAACCTCCCCCACCCCTCCATACTTCAGTGCAGACATTTCTCATTTCACAGCTAATTAAGCCATTTCCAATAGCAGAGTTAGGATTGTCCTCAGTGGATTCCAATTACAGACACAAACTGGTTCCACCACAGTGACCTAACCGGCTAAACTGGAGCAGCTGTAATTCTGCATGAGTGGAGATACATAAAACCAGCTCAACAAAATTTAACAATAATAAAAATAATCCTTACATTTGATCTAGTGTCTTATCATGTCGTCAAGGTGTCTCAAAGCGCTTCACAGAATATACTGGATTGCACATAGCAGTGTTCCACAAACAGTCATGGATTCAGTGACTATTTTTTCCCCTCTGCTAGGAATCAGTAAACAGTTTCATATTATTATATCAGTGCATCAATAATGTAAGTCAATAATGATTTAAACTAAATGCATAAATAACCAGGGCTTAGAATTCAGAATAAACACACATTTCCAGAGGAAATGTTTAACACTTTATTCTTTATTGAAACTATCTTGACCATAATAAATATGGTTAATCAAAAGTCCTTGAAAAAGTCTCAAAAAGTTGTTTGCTGCAGTATATATCAAACCCTGTTAGAGAGCATTATATTGTCAGCAACAACAAAATTGCATTTATAGAGCGCCTTTCACGTCAGAAATGTAAGAAGGTAGCTCAAGTATGATGTTCCAAAGTAAAATCCATATAAAATAATTTCCTACTATTAAACAAAAAGAACTATTGGTAATTACCCAGTTTACCAGATGGAAATGTTTCAAAACTGCTCCAGCTTTCCTCTTACTCTTTAGTCATACTATCAAGTAATAGTCTACTTAATTGGTTACTCCATCGACAGTCTTTTTTGGTTACTTGAAAGTTCGCTGAAAATTCTACTGGTTACAGATAACAGTGGGTAAACTCATAGCTTGAGCCAGACAAGAATAGTAAAGGGGTCCTCAGGTTTGGTCTCTGTTTTATGCTCAGTTACTCCATCCCAACCAAGCAAACAGCTGGGCCAATGGTGAGAAAGTAAGGTTACGCATTCCTGACTGCTGTTAAGTCATCAAGAGAAAAATGCATACAAGCGTGGGTAAGAAAAAGATCCAAAAGATCTGAAGTGAACCTCTCTTTTCCTGACCCCCCACCCTAATAAGATTGAATAATCTACCAATACTCAAGTGTCTCAGCTCATATAATAAAATAAAAAATAATAATCCTTGCACTTGATATAGCGCTCATCACGTCTTCAAGAGCTCTCACTGCGCTTCGCAGGATATGCTGCAAAGTGTAGTGGCTGTGGATTTTGTGGGCGAAACGCAGCAGCCAATTGCACACAGCAGGGACCCACAGATATTCGTGGATTGAGTGACCGCATTTTTTTCTATTATTATTATCTTATTTTGTAGGCGAAACGCAAGTAATTGCATCATCTTTCTGGAAGAAACTAATTTTATTGGAGGAAGCTTTGAGCCGAGCTGTAGTTTGGACTTTTACCAACAGATGGTGATAAAGGAATTGAAATCAACACAAGAATTCCCAGAATAACTACAGTAAAATCCTGATAACTCGTCGCTGCAAGGGGAAAGGGCTCAACGATGAGTTAACTGGAGTGGCAAGTTAGGTATATGTATAGCTACATAAATAAATGCAACCAGGATATTGACAACATGATAACTTAAGCGATAATGACAAGATAAGCCAGGGTCGAGTTATTATTATTATTAGGAGTTTATTGTATTTATACAGTCTTTTCCTCTCAACATCTCACAGGCTAGGGAGCAATCACAAATATTCAGCTGAGGAGATTCTTATACAACTGCTTATTACGAAGTGAAGCAGTCTGTAGAGGAAGCTCAATGCAGTAACATTAATGCTGCCTCTGACTGCTGCTAAGTGACCCAGGAGGAAAATCACACAGGCATTCGGTAAAAGATCCAAGATATGTTGTGAAAGCCTCCCAACCCGTCCTATAAGATTGAATAACCTACCAACACTCAATGACAGCTACCGACAAAAAAAGTTAAATAAACACATTTACTTTCACAACACATTCCAGTGTGAAAAACCACAAATTCTAAACATGTTAAACAAAAACCTCGTCCTGCTGGACATTAATTCCCACATCCTATTGCCACAGTGATAGGATGAGAGTTATGCCCAGGATTCCCTACAGGCTGATTAGTGAATCTGACGTTTTTTTTCCTAAACAGCACGTTTTTCGGGAAATAACACGACTGAAGAATGAAAGCAACCTATCCACAAGCCTCTCACACGTTCACTTCATTTCAATTGCATTCCTGGTGCCGTTTAAACTGTGGCGAAAACTTGATAGAATCTGAACCAATTTACCAGGATAGTGAAGGATAACAATATTACAATAAGTCAACAGTGACCTTTCCTGATAGCTATATAGCGCTTTATCATGTCTTCGAGATGTCTCAAAGAGCTTCACAGAATGTACTGTAAAGTGAATTGACTGTATATTTGGTGGGCTAAACGCAGCAGCCAATTGCGTACAGCCGTGTCCCACAAATAGTTGATTAAGTTTATTATTTTTATTATTTTTTAGGGGATATTACCCTCGGAAATCTGACAAACAACCAACAACTGGGTTCCCACTTACTGCTAGGTAAACAGAGGCATGTGAATTAAGAAAACTTTCCCAACACTTCCCTGCCGGGAATCAAACCCTGGTCCTCTCGCTTGCGAGGATAACTTGATGAATAGTGGGCAAAAAGGCATCTCTTTCCCTTTGTTGACTCAATATTAGAAATAATTTTTACTTTATATTACATTTAATATTGGGCTTTATGGTGAAACATTTCAAAGTATTTTACTCCAAAGTAACTACTGTATTGACTGTATTTAAAAGGGGAACACAACTGTATTGGAAACGATCTCCACCACTTCACCATGTGGCAAAGGGGAAACCAAACCACTTATCTTACCTGTTGAGAAGTCTGCTTAAACAGTGGTGCTGAAGGATAGAGCCTCAAGTCAGTGCCACAGTGTGACCCCTCAGCTCTTGATCTCTGCACGGTTAGCAGCAAGTGACACACAGAACACTTACCACTGATCAGTTCCTGCCGACTATCAGGCAAAGACAAGTATAAATGGTTGGGGTATTTAACCTGGAGAGTATAGACATAATGGGGGTTGGGAAGGCAAAACCCTCGAGAGTAAATACCCTCAAAAAATAAGTCTTTTCCAGCCCTAACCTGCAGGCTAGCAGACAACTGTCAAATTAAGTAAATAAGCGCTGCATTGACAATATTACAGGTTCTCCGGGGGCCTGTGGAAGGGGTGGGGGAGGGAGGGGAAAGACACTCTTGTGCACCTGCTACACAAAAAACCACTGACAAGCCAAAAAAAATACCATGTTCAGAGCAAAGTGATACACAAGTGGCCATAGGGCAGAAACTTTTCCTTATTGATCAATACACAAAACCAAATACCAAAACTTGGATTTGTTCAAATCCAACTTCCAGGCAAATGACAACCTTTGCTTTTTAGAAGAGCTGGCGACCCCCTTCCCAAGTTCGCAGGCTAATACAAGTCATGCCATGGCACCATCTGGCGCACGCACGCAAATGCATTCAATTTCTTTCCTCTCCCCTATTCGCTAACTTATTTTGTACCAAGCGCAGGAGCCATTTGGACCTTTAAGGACCCACAGACAGCCCATGATGTGAATAAGAAATTAATCTGGCGGGATGCTGGTCATGACACTAGAGGAACGATAGAATAACTCCTCTATTAAAATGCGCCCATGTAAGGGCGGATTCAACTTAAAGATTGTGAACTGGAAGTGCAATAAACCCAGGTTCTAGCACTTGCTGTGTTATAAAATAGCCAGGTGATTAGCACTACTGGAAAGCACTACTATGCACAAGCACTGCTAATGTGACTTCCTGCACCTGCATACGTGCATTTGCGAAGGAATGTCAATGGCACTTCTTGTGCATAGCAACATCAGAGGTGACCAGATAACCTGAAAGCTAGCCATTTTCTTTTGTGTTCACTGTAATGCGGCCTCTGCAATATTGGACCCAGATGACCATGTTACAATTGGTTTGCCCTGTCATCCTCTTTCTAAAGGGTGCCCAAGGGAAAAACAATCAGTGCTTCCTCAGTGCTTCAGTGTCAGACTATAATCCTGAAAAACGTCTGACCCAGAACCGAAAATGCTACCAACTGAGCTAAACTGACACATACCTGTATATCCTGTAAACCCTTATAACCCAAGAAAGCATGCAGATATTGCACAATTGGTTAAAATAAAAATTCTAAATGGGGAGTACATTGGATCTCACAACACCATGTCTTTATGTTGACCATTGGTCCCCTACACTGGTTTGAATGAAGAATATCCATTGACATACAGCATTTCAGATCATCATAAGTAGATACAACAACAACATTACATTACATTTATAGAGCGCCTTTCACATCGGGAGGACGTCCCAAAACGCTGAACAGTCAGGTGTCGGGGCCCGAGCATGGGGGAGGGATGGTGTAGGAGTGAGGGAAGCCAGAGAGGTAGGAGGGCGACCGAAGGCACGATCGAAGATACAAAGCTGAATTCATTAAGTAGCTCTCTCATACTCTTGACACAAAGCAGCCATATGCATACATACAATATTAATGAATTTTCAAATCCCATAACATTGGACCAGGCACCATTCCCAAATAGTTTTTGGAGTCACCATGTGCACAGGTGGAATGCAAAACCATAGAGTGCTTCTTCAAACTTGCCAGTTTATCCCTGACCATCTATTTGTTTACAAACTACAGTGTGTTGATCTTTACTTACCTCCCTTGTTGGAAAATGGCTGATGTTAATCTCACTCAAGAGGTCGAAGCAGATGAAGTGGGTGGTTTGCACCTGCAATTAATAGCAATGGAAGCAGAATGTTAGAAGTGAAAATTGCAGATTTATCCTGGAGCACAATTTGAGCCGGACTGTAAATTACAGCTGTTCAAAGGCAGGCGAGTACAGAGAGCTTTCTGGACTCTAAAAAATACACACACACGCACCAAGCGCAGAAGCTCAAAGATGCACACAGGCGCAAGCAAGCGCACATGCACGCAAGCACACGTACTCATGCACACACTCGCACGCACACGAATGCAAGCGCAAGCACATGCACACGCGCAAAAGCAGGCACACGCGCGCAAGCAGGCACACTCACAACTTTAATGACTTTCTTTGTATTCAAGGAAAAAAACTTCATAATTCTGTCTCACCTGAACACTCTCCTTAAGCTTTCAAAAAATCCACCATCCTTTATAAATCTGCCTTCTAAAATAGTGTCAACTGATTGGTAACCAGAGAACTCATCTTAAAATCTAACTCTTCGACCATGCCTATGGTCACATACACCCATCCTGCTGTGTATCCGACTCAGTCACTGTAAAGCATTCAGACATTATCCTACATAAAGGCCAGAATGTAAATGCAAATTCATGTGAAAGCTCTTCAAAGGCTTTACTGTAAAATGCAGTGACTAATTTGCCCACAAAATAGTCAGTTAATTTCCCCACAGCAAAGTCTCACAAACAGCCATGAAGTGAATGACCAATTTTATTTGGGGGATTGTTGACCAGGACAGAGTACTTACTCAGATACCTAAAGGCCGTTTATTTAAAAGCTGCGAAAGTGAACAATGAGCGCTAAAATATTCAAAACAGTATCCAACTACAAAAAAATCAAACACAGAAGTTTCGAGTTTCGATAGCTCGGAATGAGCAATAAGATAGGTATTAATTTGGGGGGGGGGGGGGGGGTAGAGAAATGTCAAATGAATGCACAACCACAAACCAAGGCTCAAGATAAATTTCAGCACCCTTTGTGCCTCATTATTGGCAAAGACCCTGGAAATGACTGCAGTCATCTGTCCATTCATTGACAAGCAGTCCAGGATGTGCTGCCTTTACAAAGGGGAGAAAAGAAGCCCCAAATACACAAGCTGTGTGGCATTCTGATTCTCAATCCCCAGCCACGTGTGGTAAGTTTCTTCAGTTATTATCCGCAAGCCGGGGTGAGGATGGGAGAGGAATAAGTGACAGATCTTAAGAAAATAGATGTCTGCAACAGGGTAGCAAACCACAAAAGAGAACGAGCAGCTGCAAGCGTCAACGGACCAGTGTAGGGGGAGGGGACCTGCGCAGAAATGAGAAGTAGTTACGGAAGTGGCATGCGAACTTGTAAACCATCACTGATCCCACATGTGAAATTAGAAGCTCTAAACTATAAATGGCAGTCTTCTTCTCCTGTCAGTAGATTACTGTCAGTTGGCTTACATTTCCACAATTATACTTGTTTTCATGCTTCCATTTGCATTCAATGATTTGGCAAACAAAGTTCTTATACAATGTCTCTTGATTAATCTAATGTTGAGCACAGGATGCTAATAGAACACAATGAATGTTGCTAAAAACAAAGCTTTTAATGGAACACAGGTTCAGCGTTCTCCTGACAAACAAACAAATAAATGCAAGTTGCTTTCAAATAAGCACCATCAAAAGGAGACCGCTTTTTACGTGTGCAAAAGCCGTATAGCCTATATTTAACAGAAGATTTTCATTGAATAACACAAGTGTAAAACCTTGGCCTCGAGTTCCACAAGAATAGAGCTACCAAATGAAAATTTAAAGAAGTTATGCAAAATCCACTGAATTAATTATACAGTACTTTCATTTGTTTATTATTCTCCATTTGTTGAGCTGCACCCAAGAACAACAACAACAACAAGATTCCATTCATAGAGCGCCTTTCACGTCGGGAGGACGTCCCAAGGCGCTGTACAGTTGGGTCAGGACCCGAGCATTGGGGGGAAATGGTCAGGGTGAGGGGAGGGAAGGGAGGGAGCGAGGAGGGGGTAGAGAGTCGAGAGGGGNGCTGAAGGCTCGGTCAAAGAGAAAGGTCTTGAGACCGGCCTTGAAGGAGGAAAGGTAGGAGGCGGCGAAGGCAATGGGGGATAGAGTTCCAGAGCCTCGGGGCTGAGAGCCCGGCCACCGATGGTAGGGCGGTTGGGGCGGGGGACGTGGAGCAGACCGGAGCCAGGGCAACGGAGGGTACGGGCAGGTAGGTAGGGGGATAGTAGGTTGGAGAGGTAGGAGGGAGCAAGGCCGTGGATGGCCTTGTAGGTGAGGATGAGGATCTTGAAATTAATCCTCTGGGGGATGGGGAGCCAGTGGAGGCGAGCGAGGGTGGGAGTGATGTGGTCCCAAAGCCTGGTGCGGGACAGTACATGAGCTCTTGCAGAGTTCTGAAGAACTGAAGAAGTGAAGAACCACCACTAAAAAAAAATTACGAGACTTTCAAATGTACACTATACAAGGGCCCTATTGAGAATAGACTTCCATTGCATTATATTAATATTTTATTAGATTGTGTCAACACAAACACCCCAACATCTACACATACTGCAGGACTTATTTTATCTGAGGTGCTAAAACTTGGAGGTATTCCATCTATTTGATTTGATGTACAATAAACTCCAGCTAACTTAGCGCTCCAAGGGAAAAGAGCTCAGCAACTAGTTATTCAGAGTGGCTAGTTAGGCACGGATCCTCCCCGGCTACATTGGCTCAAGGGGACACTGGGTGGGGGTTGGGCACACTTGCTTGGATGAATCGCAAAGGCCTCTGGTCTATTGAGGGCCGTGCTTTAGCCTCCCGTCCTAACCTGTCACAGAATAGGACCGGAGGCAGGATGGGATGCACAGCTCCCTCCAATAGATCAAAGATTTCTGCAATTCATTCGAGTAAGGGTGCCCAACCTCCACTGAGCACCCGCACCAGTCACAGTATAGGGTCAGGAGGCCTCTGCAATGCAAGATGCCATCTTATAGGACAAGTTATCCAACTAATTTTATATGGTAACTACTTACAAGAATTTCTAGAATTTGACTAGTTACAGGTTAAGTGGAGTGACAAGCAAAGCGCAGTCCCTTATTAGTATTTTGAATAGAAAACAGCCAGGATATTGACAGCATGGTGACTCAATGGTTAAGCAAGGGTTGAGGTAACCAGTTTACTGTACTATAGTTGCTAGCAATCCACCTATCAGCAAATGCTGTGGTATAGTAGAAGTGGAGCAGATGGTTTTGATTAGCAAATGCACACACACACATTTGGGTGAGTTCTTGGCAGACGCGAGATTACCCTTCTACTACTTGACATTGTTCTAAAGTTACAGGTGTATTCTGCGAACGATCAACATTGTGGTGAGCAAACTGTGGCTTGCTCCTGAGTATCCAAGAGGAGCTCGGAAATAAAACTGCTGCAAAAATATTTCTGGGGAGAAAACTGGTCATTTCCAGAGGCACCAATCGCCACAGATTCTTGGTCATAGCTCTGGGTGTAGCAACTGAGCAACTATTCCATCAATAGAGAGAGAACTGACCAGCCATATACCATGTACCGCCTGCTGACAGGCAAGAGCGTGCGATCAGTGTGGAGAATATGGAGAATTGAGTCATACACACTACGCACGCAGATTTCTGGCTAAGGGAAAAGCATCACGAAACAACAAAAGAAAGTATAAATTTTGTCAAGGTTTTAAGCCAATTTCCTGGGAAGTTATGTTATTATTCCCGGGCAGGGCAAAACTTTGGGCAAGTTTCCTTACTCCACAAATCTTTGTTTACCTAGCAGTAAGTAGGAACCCAGCCATTAGTCGATTGGAGGATCACTTTTCCGGAGGTAATAATTCCTTCAAAAAATGAATAATAATACATTGGTCGCTCAATCCACGACTGCTTGTGAGACACTGCTGTGTACAATTGGCTGCCGCGTTTCACCCACAAATATACAGTCAATTTACTTTACAGTATATTGTGCAAAGCGCTTTGAGACATCTCGACGTGATAAAATGCGATATCAAATTCAAGGATTATTATTATTATTAGCTACATCACCAGTACAGTTTCAATCAGCCTCAACATTCTGAGACAGGGAAAGGGAACAAACTCAGGATTATCGCTCAGACGTATATACTGAGATTCCTCCTGTACAAATAACAATATTTGTGAATCACGTGGAAGGTAATTATAGTGATATCCTAAAAGTGTCTTTGCAAACTGAGGTGCTATTGAATTGTTCTCCGGTATTTTCTATGTGTAAGGCTAGACTGCAAATGTTAGAATACTATGGATGGGGCAGGTAAAAGAGATAGAGAGGGACCACAGAAATTAATTCCCCATGTGTGCACACACCTGCATTACCCAGTAGGTCACAAACAAAATTAGGAACCTGGCTAATTTGTTTGCCCCTCCCTAGCCCCGGGGAGCTGAGGCGAGTCTATAAGCTGACAAGTCGATTTAGAACGCCTCAAAAGAACGTATTCCCAGAACCCACAAATTAATTAGAAAAATAGGACCAAATAAAAAAGATCTATATCGCCATATGTGAAACAATGGTTCCCAGTGACAACAGTAGATTGATACACGGTGAATATTTTATTACATCTATACTGCACTTCCACACACCAGAAGGACCTAAGTCCAACATTTTTCAAACTGGCTTAACAAATACTTGCACAATTTGCACAGTATAAGCAGACGAGCAATTCTTAGAGAACCCACAACTTCACCATGAGTGATGATGGGTCCTTCTGTCTGTTGGCTCTTTTGGGCTTGATTTTGAGTCCTTGATTATGTGGAAAGGTTACTAAAGAATTATGTTTCCTAGCTATGCAAATTTAAAGGGCACAATTAGGTTTGCAGTTGCTCGTAAATTAAGTGTCTGGTTGGTTGGTCATGTAGTTTAATATGGTATACCACTTGTGATTTGTTAAGTTTCTATCATTGGGTTTTTGTCATTGCAGAAAAGGCACTACTCTGTAGAAGATTTTGAAAAAATGTAAATAGTTTTCAATTT